CTAACTGCGAGCCACCCATGAGCTCAGATGGATCGATCGGTTACCGGTGGGAGCCTCAATTAAAAACCACCATTCCTTCAAGTGTACTTATGTCGATTCCGCTCGTCCCATCATTTGGGACGTCTCCCATCTTGATCACAGGCCTTTGCAACACCGTTCAGTTCATCAGATCCAATGGGTCTCAAGCTCAATGGTATCGAACTTTTCTGGCTGGGAGTCTGCTGTAAGCATACAGACGCGTGAATCTCAGAGAGTGAAAGAAACTAAGCATCCACCCCACCCCGACCCCACCAAACGAACATTGGACCTCAGCGAGATCAGCAAACGTTAATGACAACAGGACAGCTATAGTGCACCTGAGTACTGATCAACAACGCCTGTGGACTATGAAGGTTCAGGAAACAGCCGCGGTCTATGGCCAAAAGAAAACCAATGTTTATGAAAGGATTTGCAGAAAAATGCAACGGCAGTTCGTTCACAAGATCACAGCTTTCGGAACACTTCAAATACTGTTCAGCTGGACTACACTATCTGTGCAACAATCCCGTTATCCTGTACGGAGCCTTGACACCAGTCCATCAGCAGCAGAAGCCTAACGCGGAAGAGAGCATCCGGCCGGGATGTTTTGCACCCTGAACTTTTCAAAGATGGCAAAGCCTTGATGAACAGTCTGACTAAGGTTTGGCAGAATACATACCCGTGGGCTGAATCTTCCCTTAGGGTGCGAGCTAATCCTTCAAAAGCCATCGTGGCATCAGCCTTATCATCCCGGATTCTCTTTTGCGTTATCCTGCACTGGTTGACAGGGTAGCCGGAGAGACAAATTAGTGGGAATCGACCCAGGTTCTGTCGCAGTCGATGATGTCTTGACCATATCTCTAATTTGTGGCACGTTCTTGGAACTGTCTCTCCCGACCCAAACATGCTTTTCACCCTGACTGTCGTCAAAACCTACGACAGTATTTGCCGACCAAGGCTGTCTCTTTCAATCTTTTACTCCGTCATCGAAACACCACACACCAACTCCTAAGGACGTGCACGGCTATACAATAGGCTTTTGATCGAGTTCAACGTGTCAACTGGTGTAAGCCAAGGCTGCCGTCTATAGTCCTCTCCAACTTTATTTTTGCTCTGTTGCTTCAACCTCCTCTACTGGCCTCTGAATCATCGGAGGTGCAAATGCTTCTGGTGCCTTCATCCGCAGACGTTGCTCTCCTGGGTTCTCTCTCCTGTTGCTCTCCTGTGTCCTAGTGAGGACATCGGATAAGCAATCCTGAGGTACTCCAGATAGTACCTGAAAGAAGAAACTCTCACGCGATGAACAACTTAGTCACGCGTCACAGATTACGCCTTTTAAAGCATGCACTTCAGAAGACCGCCTGCTTCCCAGAACTCCCTTCGTCTCGTCCAACGCTGAATGGAAGCGACGGGGGTTCGGACAGTTTGTGACCTGGCAACGGATTGTGGAATTACTAACAATTAAACTCCGTTGGGTAGGCAACCGCAGTCTCCCTGGATGAGAATCTCGGGATTCAACTCATCAGTGGCTGATGACACCAGTGGCCACGGCTCAGCCACGCAGCCGGGAGCCCTCATGCATCAAAGTCGTCCGCTTTCCCGCTTCATCATCATGTGGCTGGCCATGCCATCGACTCCAGTATCTGGCTATAACTCGCCTAGTTCCCCATCTCTTGGTGGTGGAAGTTGGAAACAACGTTCCCTTGGGAAAGATTGTAGGGATGATGTCTGGAACCTAATCGAGCCACACTCCTAACGACATCCGTTGTGACATTTCACATTGGTCGAAGAGTTCGCATCCGAAGGATAGAATGGAGCGATATACAATAGTTCAATAGTTCTTGAGTTTCCGATCGCCATTTTTTCCACTGTTATATGGTTCCCATTCGGGTTCACATGGCGGGGGCAGGCGAATCACCAAACTGCGCATGTATTCATGAATCACAAAGACGCTGGTTTATTGAATGTTTCGAGCATTTCGTTCAGACGAAGTCGAAAATTCTACCTCACCTACACGAAAGGTGTTTGGGAGACTTTAGAATTTAACGGAAGCTTCCTGACCCCAGTTTAGATTACATGCAACGCAGTTCTTTTTCGCATGGAGGTACTCGCATCGATGAATTCCATGAAGATCTTAACTTAAGAGTGAAGCGTGTACTTGGTGTTACTTT